CTTTCTGGCTAATGGATTTTGAATTATCCTAAATTAATAATTACTTAGGCTAAGCCAAGCTATGCTTTTTAACTTTTTTGGGGGGGGTGGAAAGGGGGTTATGGGAACATTACACATAGTTTGAGGGCAACCTACGAAGAAACACAATTAAAACTCCTTTGCCTAAGTCACATAGGATGCTATCTGTTCTATGCTCTTTAAATTTGTTTTGGTTTGTTTTAAGTCCTATGCTGTAATTTTTTCCCTAATATTTCTCCATGCCTCCCTGTAGTGAGGGTAAAAAGGACTGGAGATGCCTTCCTATGAAATTCTGCGTCAAGACCTTCACAGACTCCCTCCCCTTCTCTACCCAGCTAACCTCTCATACTTGTTTATTTACTTTTTAAAGATTTTACTTATTTATTTGAGAGAGAGCGCAAGCACAAGAGCGGGGTGAGGGTCAGGGGGAGGTGCAGACTCCCCACTGAGCAGGGAGCCCAACAGGGGGCTCAATGGGGGGACAGGATCTCCCTGTCTCTTTGTGTCAAATAAATAAATAAATAAATAATCTTTAAAAAGTATATTTTATTTGCAAGAGAGAGAGAGAGTCTGAGCAAGGAGAGGGGCAGAGGGAGCAGCAGACCACCACTGAGCAGGGAGCCATCTCAGGACCCCAGGATCACAATCTGAGCCAAAGGCAGACACTTAACCAACCAAACCACCCAGATGCCCCCCCTTTTTCTTGTTTTTTGTCTTTTTTAAAGTGTGCTCTACATCCAGAATGCTGCTTGAACTCACAACCCTGAGATCAAGAGTCGCATGCTCTACCGACTAAGACAGCCAGCGCCCCCAAATCTCTCATTCTTTAGGTCTTACTGTAAATGCCATTTCTTCAGAAAGCCCTTCCTTTACTTACCCACCCAATCCCGATTAGGACCCTCTTAGTCTCCTATAATATGCTATAATAACATTTCATGGGATCTGTCATAATTTGTAATGGTACACTTGTGTGCACTCTGTTAACATTTATCCTGCCTCCCTCCTCATTTAAGGACAAGCTGTGTGGACAGAGACCAAGACAGAGTGGCTCACATCTGTGTACCCTGTGCCCGGAACAATGTGGCACATAGTAGGTACTTCACATACACTTGTTAAGCAGTTAGCAGCTTTTCTGGAAAGGCCTAGAATTTTCTAAACATGGTGTGACCAGTCATATCTTCTAGTTTCTTGGGATACAAACTATTCCTAGTGTCTTCTGAACACAGAACCAGGTCACAGCAATAACCACATTTTTAAATGGTTGCTATGGTCCACACACTTGTGCGCTGTTGGTTTAACTACATTATTAATCTTCACAATGGCCCCGTGAGGTGGGGATTACTGTCCTATTTTATAGACAAGGACACCAAGCTTCAGAGAGGTAAACTGAATTCCTCACAGTCACATAATAGAAAGCAAACAGAATCAGAACTCAAACCCAGCTCAGAGTCCAGGGTCTGTGCCCCTTCTTCTCAAGCCCCCGGGGGGACAGTCCAAAAGCCCTGGGCGTATGGGAGACCACGAGAGCAGCATGCGGCCCATTTCTGGTTATTTCCTTTTTTACCCGATGGTAAGTAACATCATATATTTTTGTGTTAAAAAAGGGACACATTTTAAAGTATAATGTGAAATGAACTTAAAAAAAATTTTGAACCCAAAACAACAGAAGTTCAAAGAAATGCCACGCCTGATGCCCAGGCCTACCTGTGGAAAACCTCTGTGGAAAAACATGAGAAGCACTTATTTGTCGCTCTTTCTTCATTTTATGTCCCTTTACCTTGTTGCTATCTTTTTTTTTTTTTTTTTTAATGCCAGCCTTCCAACTCAGTCTTCATTTTCTATTCCCACCCTCCTTTCCCTGGAAGTTTAAATGTTTAAAGAGAGTGGCAGTGTGTCAGCCATGAGCATGTCATTTTCAAAAGCATTAGTCATTTATAATTTATAATTTATAAATTATATAAGGACACCTTTTTGTAGGTACAATAAATCTGATTGATTTTTATTACACATCTTAGTTTAGAATCACTTTTACATTCCTAGACAAAGAGATGATACAAATAAATATCAACTGTAAAACTTAGAGCCCCAAGTATTGGCATATTCTTTGTCTAAAGGTAGCCAAAGAGAAGGTCAAGATCAACAGTAACTCCAAAAAGCCATAAAGCCCGCTGCCCCTTGCCTGCCCCAGGATCACTCCCTTCATAAACAACCTCAAAAGCATTTCATTCAAGAAAACAAGGGCGGGGAGAGAGGGGGCAGATTGCCAAATAGTACTGGACAAAACCATGTGCAGTAGACAACAGCCAGGCCCACTGTCCTTATCCAGTTCCCTCTGAGCATTTTGATTATGGCTTTTAGGGCTTATTAATAGCCCCATTTTCATCCACTGATGGTGCTGAGATGGCCCAAGGTGTTGTTTGCGATGAGCCTGGACCATACGGAAATGTGAGGCAGAACTGATATCCCATGTTAGCGGGGAGTCGACGCTTCTCAAGAACTTGGCAACAATTCTACATTCAGTAAGGGAGGACTTACAAGAGTCAGACAGGAAAAGCAGAGAGTGGCCCGGGCCTGAACTGCAGAACTCTCTGACGCCCTTGGTCATGGAGGTGCGGGTGGTACAATTCAAGCAGCATGCAGGCATTTGACGGGGAACAATCCAATATTAGGTCAGAGTCTTAAGAAAGTGCTTCATGCCTATGATTTGTGTCCTTGGGTTCTGAATCCAGGGATCTGGGAGACATGTGACTTTCAAACAGGAAGCCAGATACATTCTTACTGATCAGAGCAAAAACGGGCTTGATGAGGGTCACACACAGTCTCAAACTCCTTCTCCCAGATGATCTTCTTAGATCCTGTTCAGACTTGCTTCCAGACTTCACTAGCTGCTCTTGCATGAAGACCCTCAGACGGCTTGGAACATTCTAGCATGACTAGACATGAAAACCAGGTCGGTCCTCCATGTGTTTGGCTCAATTCAGAGCCCAAAGCAGCAGCTTTCTGGTAGCAGTGAGACATGTTCCTGTATGCTCTACTCAAATATTTATCGGATCCATTTTGAGAGAAGAAAAGCACCAGAGACTGCTCGGGGAGGGACAGCTCCACCTCCTCACAGCTGTTCTACCTGGGCTCACAGACTGCCAGACGAACACAGCTATGCATAAGGCAAGCTTGTTTTAATAATCCTGCCTGCCCGCTTGGCTTTCTTCCTTCGCCCTCTTAGAAAAGTTCCACGGTCACTCAACCACCCTTGCTCAGAACAGCCACCTCAAGACATCGGTATTAAGGTACAGTGTTATCTTCAGTGTTCAGTTCTCAGATGTGCTAGGTGAATATTTTCAGCCTATGGGATTCAGACTAGCTTTGAGGGAATGTGGTGCAAGAGACGGGTGTAGCTGGCAGATAAGCATCTCAGACTATCCACCTCATCATTTGGTTCCCACTCAAACAGGTAAATTCTTAATAAATAAGAAGCAGGGTCTGATCCCAAGGAAGATGAGGAAAGGCTCCATTATGCTCTGGGAATTGCTGCAAAGGGCCCCAGTTTCAGAAAGAACAGTAACTAAAAAGGAGATAAGGGGCCAGATGCCAGATCTCCATTTGTAGAATGCTAAGACATTGCACTTGGTACCTCCTCTTTCCCACGGGTTCTGATCCAGAAATGTGCCCTGGGAACTCAGCAGCTGAGTTAAAATATAACTCAAGGCCCACCTGAGTCGCCATCTTCCTGGGGCACCGTGCCAGCAGGGTGCACCAGGGTGGCAGACCTGGGGACTCCTATTGTGCCCTCAGGCTTGGCTCGTGGACTCAGACACTCACATGGGAGCACTTTCCGCCTGGATTCGTCTTTCAGTGGGCCTTCAATACAGACAAAGGCAATAACTGCACATTAGTGTATTTCTAAAACTGGGCAAGTCCTTGGTCTCTCTCTTACAGACACACATGGACACACTCGGAGAACACAGGCACCACTGTGCTTGCACACGCACGCATACTTCTGAGCTTCTCTTGGGGGGAAAATGAGTAATATTCACCTAAGGACCAACATAAAATGAAGCTTTGAATTTCAATAATAAGAAGAACTAAAACTTAAAAACCAAACTAGTCTATGTCAACGGGAATTTCTAACTCTCTTCTCTGAGCCTACTCAGTTGCACGGCCACTCCGGGCCACCACCTTCGGCTCTGCTGGCAGCGAGCCGCTCTTCTGGCCTCAGGTGAGGGTCCTGCAGAAGGCCGGCAGGACGGCTTCGTTCCCATCCATTCTATCATCCTCTCCCACCGCCTGGAGTCCCACATCTCTGTGTCTGCACTGCCTCATCACCCTTTTGCAGACAGGGAACAAAACAGGGAATTCCAAAAGTGCCACTGTACGTCTCATTCTCCCAGCTCTTGTCCGGTCAGAGAAAGCAGACCCAACCTTCCTCTTCCCGTAAAACAGGCCCATGGCTGAGCAGCTGTGCGGGCAGAGGATGGGCTGAGGCAGGGATGCTCAGAGGATGTGTGCAAGGGGAAAGATGGTGACAAATGAAGAGTAAAGTGACACAGTGTATGGACATGGCATCAGCTTACAGATTTACGTCTTAGACAAGGATGGTCATAGTTTTAAGGTTTTGAAGAAGCTGTTTCCCTAAAACTCTCCAAGGAGGCAAAGGGAATGTTGTTTCTATTGCTTCCAACATGCTTGGGAAACATTTCCTCATTCAGCAGATCCCAAAGGCCCATCAAGCCTATCGGGGGCTTGGATCCAAATGAGAATTCTCATTCTACCTACAGGAACAAGCACCTATTCAAGTTCTAGGGCTTTTACTTCTCAATCTCACTGTCATTTCATCCTGAGGCTCCAAAGACTTGGTCCTGCTCAGGTGACTCCTGATTCTGCCCTGTTGTTCAACAAGAAAGGAGCCCAACACAAAGAACAGGCTAGAAAAGGAGAGGGGAGTGGGAGGGAGGGTGGGGGAAGGGAGAGGAGAACCTAGGAGAAGGCAAGGGAGAAGGGAAGCAAGGTCACTGGTCATTCCCTTGCTTTCCACTTTGACTATCACACTTTACCTTACCCATGCATTTCTGAGATGCTAATTAAAGGATATTTCCCAGAGTCGCTGTGTGCCAGGTGAGTGCCGGCACGTTTCAACCAGATTACGATGGTTAGTCTGCAAAGAGGCCATCGCTTCTCCCCAGGGGCACAGTTCTGAGTTTGGGCTTGAAGTCCTCTCTGCAGGTTTTTCTCGTCTCTTCTCTCAGAAGGCAAATGCTATTTACACCCTGGGAGAGGAGGAACTGGCTTTACTTGGGAACCAGTCCTCGAGACTGTGGATAAAGCTGAGATGCAGGGGTTCCTGAGGAAGAGGAGGAGGATCCCGACTTCCTTCCACTTTTAGGCCTGCAAAAGTCAAGCACATGTTTACATGTCATGTCCTGTCTCTGTCCCTGACACAGATCAGACTCCTTTCTCACCAAGTAGCCTTAGCCTTTCCTCAATGGCCTGAACGCCAGTACACTCTCCACTGTAAAACCACCAGACCGGCACAGCCTGACCCTCTGTGCATGGCCAACATGACCGGCCAACCGAGGCGTGACACCTCAGGGAAAGGGACCTGCTTCTTGGCAACTGTTCTTCCATTTACATCAGATCTTGATTGTCTTTTCCGGTAAAAAATACTGTTTGCAGGTAGAATTTCTTCCATTTTTGGTTTTCACCCATTTGTTGTCCTTAAGCCTCTAGTCCAAAATTTAATAAGACAGAACTTCTAATTTAGCACTAAATTAAGTACTTGGTTATTTCACGGGTCATTTAAATGAGGTAAATTCAGCAGTGAGGCTCAGAGTCTGGGCTGTGGATTCAGACACACCTAGGTTTGAACTCTGGATCTGTACTTACTTCCTTGAACTTGGCTACTTTCTCAAATTCTCTAAGACTCAAGTCTTCTTATTTTATAGATTTTATAAATGGGATTAATGATAACATTTATCTCGTAAGTTTTTGCAGAAAACAGTAAGATCATTCTGTCAAAGGACTTACAACCGCCTAGTACCTGGCGGGGACCAAAGAACTGTCCCCTAGTTCACGGGAACACACGTTCCTTAGCCATTCTGGTGTTCATGATACTTGACTGGGCCATAAGTATTTGTGGAATAAATGAACAAACCCAGGAGTAATATTGCAGCATTTTCTGGTGTGTCTGTAAAGCATTCCATGATAAACCTCTACCTTTGTTTGTCCTTGTTTGAGCATGTTCTGTTTAACCGCAGGTCATCAAAAGCCACTCACCTGGCCTTGGACTTCTTATTTGTCGTGCTTTCAAAGGACGATGCATCCACCTGTATCTCATCTTCGTCCTGCAGGGCTGCATCCAGCGCAGCCTGGACTTTGGGAGCGATGGCGGGGCCCTCGTAGTCTCTGGTGGTTCGGCTGGGCATGTCCAGCTCTAATAGCACGATGTTCTCTGCCTGCAGAAGCACAGCCATAACCAGTGAGGCTGGCCTCCAATCAGACACAGAGCCTAAAAGCAATCTCGCCCCCCTCCAAAAGATAGAACGGCACATGTTTTGCTACTGGGAGCCTACCGAGAGCCTGTAATGACACAGATTTATAACTTTTTTCCTGGTGAGGACACAGATGTTTTTATCTTCTTCTCTGGGCTTTCCTCTATTTCCTTAAAAAAATGTTTTTTTAAACAATGAACATATTATACCCTAAGGGGAATAAGCAGGGAAAAATAATAAGTAGAACCCATTTACTGCAGATAATGTGAAAATACAAAAAGGTATAAAGAAGAAGAGGGTTATCACTGATAACCTCACCACCCACAGTGGCTCTGATGAACCTTTTGGTTGCTATGGGAAGGAGGCAGGCAGGGAGTACATTTATGGAAGGTGTGTGGCAGTGTGTGTCTTGTAACCACATTTTATCTTTTATCATACCCTGCCCTGCCTCATAACTGGCCTTGTAGCTGGATTCCTTCACCTGACAGCCTGTAGCGGGCCTTTCCCTGGGTCCTATATGCTGAAATGAGTGTGTAGAGGGAAGAACACCCCACGGTACACATCTCGTCCTTCAGCTCCTCCTACCCAGTAGAGTTCAAGCCCCAGAACTCCAGAGGGGGCAGGAGGGTCAATGCGGGGAGAAGGTGGGGAGATGGAGTGGCTCCATCAATCAATTTTATATACTGAGACATTGCTTAAATTTTCTCTTAATGGAGTGTGTCCATTGCTAAAAACATCTGAAAGCCGCTGCTTTAAATTCTACCTTTGTATCAGGTTAGCCCCTTGGAAACCCACACATTCTGATTTGAAGGCTTTGAAATCATGTTCTAGCTTTGAGACCTGAAATAATGGGCAAGAGATGCACCCTCTGAAACTGCTAGGAAAATGCTTCTGAGGACACAGATACATTATTCACCTTCCACTACAGAAAACCCCACCTAATGTAGCTTTTTTGCTTTTGTTTCCTTTATTTTAAATAACTCAGCAACAGGAAGAACAGCACCTGAGCAACTAATTAATCCCAATCTGTTTTGCTCTGGTGGCCAAGGGAGACTCAAAAACAATTTAAAATTTTCAAGATACAGGCTTGTATCTTGATATCAATGATACAGGCTCCCTGCTGATATAAAATACAGATAAGCAAAAAGAAGGCAAATTAAATTGAGTACACGTCCATGAACCAGAGATAACCAGTCCTTGTATTTAATTCATACATAAACTTTCAGTACCAGTTGTTTTATAACTTAACAATACATTGTGTCTCCTGGTCCATCCACTTACCAGCTACCTATTAAGCCATGGGACCTGCAGCAGAGAGGAGGTGGGAGCGTTCAATTAGAGAAAGCCATCAAGCGCTGAGTACATGCCCGGCATACAGCAAGTGCTTATGCGTAGCAGTTCGTACATTGGGATTATTGCAAAATATGTTTGGGTCATTTAAACAGTCCTCAATTATGTCACTTGAAATAACTACCTGACTGACCCACATCCCGTTAAACAGAAGTACTGAAGGTTCTATAACCCATCTCCATCTCCCATCATTGCACATCTGCATTCCCTCCAGCCTTCGCACGGAGCCATTTTCAGGCTTCGCGGTGATGATGTTTCTTGGCCATTACTGACAGTATGTTTGTACTCTCCTCCTTCTGTAGGCTAATTTTCTAAATCTCATTCTACTTTGCCTTCTTATTCATAATTATTTGTTCTTTTTATTTTTTCTTTACTTAGTATGTTTATTATCAATTATAATTAGGTTAATATAAATGTCCTCAGGAACCTCTGGAATCAGGACACATACTCTGTGACTTTGCAGAATGGTGCCTGAAGCTTTACATATACCTAAACTCCTTGAAAAGAGATAGGAGAGAAACACAAGGACAATCTTCTTACCCTATATCGGGCCTCTGGACGAATCATCATGGACATTCTTGCGTGTTGGCTCAACGGTCTCTTATACCCCACAGCTGAGACTGGCCGCTTCATCATCTGCTGATTCCTGGAAATGGACTGCAGTGGTTAAAGCCCTGGCTGGAGTGTGTTCCACAGTCCCAGGACAGTCCTGTGGAACCAGCCCTCAGAAGACACTGAGCCTATCTAAATAGAACTGAACCTAGTAACTCCCGGGACTAAGGGCTACCACGTGAATGGGGCAGGAACTGCTTATATTTTCTGAGTCACGTTCTGATTCAAATGTGGACATCATGCATCTCTTAAGCTGGAAGGGATTGGTGTAATCACCCAGTTCTTAGATGGCAGGCGCAAGACATAGCTGTCAGTGTTCCCCACCCCCACATCCTTGGCAAACCGTTTTCCACTATTCTAGCAAGACCCAGAAGTAGACTGGAAGTCAACGTTGCATCAGACGGCCATACAATATGACGCCTACCCAGGTACTGCCCCCTTTGGCCTAGCATGCTTCCCATGACAGCTGAGGAAGCGCAAATGCAGGAACTTGGGAAAGGACATGAATTCACTGTGATAGTCCCCCAATTCCTAACAGCACCATCCTACCATACCCCTTGGGCCAAATCCAGCTTATCCATATTTTCTCCCTCTTCCCCACCTTAAAATGAATAGTGACTTACTCCAGTCTGGTTATAGGATGTAATTTCCAATGATCTTCCTCTTCGTCAAAGAAGGATCTATTCATAATTTTACTTTTTTCTTCCAGAGGGATGAAGTTTTCTATAATAAGATGCCTGTAAGAGCACACAATCATGAATGAACAAAGGTGGACAAAGAAGACAGCTAGAGTACTGGCTATCCTACATGTGGGAGTCATTGGATAAGAGTCAAGCCACTCCACAAGTACTTCCTGGGCAGGCCCTGCAGGCTGGACATTGGGCAGAGAGCTGGGGTACAGACAGGAATGACGCTTCGTCCCTGCCTGAGACAGAGAGGTAATGGTGTGGCCCTCTTAGATATGACAGGTGCTGACAGTGGGCTGCCCCAAGACTCTAGAGAGGTCACTTCTGCCCAAGGAGGAACAGCTTGAGGAGGAGAATGGAAGAAAAGTGGCCATGCCCGGCCTATCCCAGAGTGCACACTCACTAACTGAAGTGTCTCTTAGGGGGCCATTGGTACCCCCCAACCTAGCGCGTTAATTTCCAAAATGCTGAAAAGAGATTAGAAGTGAAATGGTCTTCTTCCAATCCCATGGATTGTTGGCCAAGCTAGAAAACTTCCCACACTAGTCGCCAGGACAAAAGACAAGACTGAGTGGATTTCAGTCCCCTTAGACTACTGAGAATAAAGGACCATTCCCGAGAAGAGTCTCAGCCTGAGAAGTGCTAAGGAACACAGCGAACAATGAAACTGGAACCCACTGGGTTGTGTCTCTCCATGGTGACAGCTGTCCCACACCTCTGCATTCATGCTTTCAAAACCTCAGGACAGAACAATGCCAAAGGGGTGTTAAAGTGGGAAAGACACACAACAGACACCAGTGACGTGTAGGGTACAGACTGTGAGAAAGAGGCTGACTCACTGTTCATTCAAAAAATATAAATAAGAGCTAAAGCCATGAAAATGGCTTCCCTAGGGGAAAAATATTTCAGAGAGATGAAATTTTCTACTTATTTTATTTGAAACATTTAAGAAATTATTTTTATGACATATATTTGCTTTTTTCTGATTTTAAAAGTCCTATTTATACAACAGAAAATGTGAAAAATACAACTACATACAGTTTCACTATCCAGAGATAGCTATTATTAATATTTTGGCATATTTTGTTCTTTTTTTTTTTTTTTTTTCCTAGGTGTACATACCTAGAAAGAGGATACATTTAATTATAAAAGCTCCTTCCAAATTTAAAACTTGGTCATTAAAAGAATCCCTCTGAAGAGTTCTTTGAAGAAAAGTTCTAGCTAGAGGTACCTGGCTGGCTCAGTCTGCAGAGTATGTGACTCTTGATCTCAGGGTTATGAGTTCAAGCCCCACATTGGGTGTAGAAATTACTTTTAAAAAAAAGAAAAGAAAAGAAGGGGCGCATGGGTGGCTCAGTTGTTAAATCCTCTGCCTTCAGCTCAGGTCATGATCCCAGGGTCCTGGGATTGAGCCAGCATCGGGCTCCCTGCTCAGCAGGAAGCCCGCTTCTCCCTCTCCCACTTGCCCTGCTTGTGTTCCTTCTCTCACTGTGTCTGTCTCTGTCAAATAGAATCTTAAAAAAAAAAAAAAAAAAGCAAAATTTCAGCAAATATTGTGGAAGGACTGATAGAGAAAAACAGTATTATGTAACCCCTAATGAAATAATAATTTCAGACAAATTATTGTTGGTTGAAACTGTTAACTCAGTGGTTCTTAAGCCAGGCTGCACGTTAATACCACTTACAGAGTTCTGAAAAATAGCTTGGCCAGACCTCATGGTTCTCAAAGTGTGTTCACAGAACCAACAGGAGCAACTGGAATCTTCTAGAAATGCAATTCTCTAGAAATGCAAATTCTCAGGCTCCATGCCTGATGAACTGAATCAGACTCTCTGGGTTTGGGACCCAGTAATCTACACTTAACAAACCCTTCAGATGATCTGGTGCCTGCTAAAGTTGAAGGACCAATTAAGTCAAAATCTTTGGGGTGGGGCCTTTTTAAAATTCCTCCTATGATTTCAGTGAGCAGCCAAGGTTGAGAACCAGTGCTTTGGAACTAGCTTTCAATTAAACCTTTCAGTTAAATCCAGACTGTGAGACACTTCAAGTGGCTGACCTCGCTTTTCAATAAGTCAACTGCAAAAAAAGTTTTTAAAAGGAAAAGGGACTGCTCCAGATTAAAATAAGCTGAAGAGAAATAATAACTAAATGCAATATGTGGCCTTCATATAGATATTAATATGAACAAACCCATAAAATCCGAATATGAGCAAGGTATGAGATAATAGTAAGAAACAACACTAATTTTGTTAGGTGGAAAGATATCGTTGTGTATACAAAAATCAATTGTGATTCTATACACTAGCAATAAATATTCTGAAAATAAAACTAAGAAAAGCAATTCCATATACAATTGCAAAAAACCACTTAGGTATATATTTAACAAAAGAAGTGCAAAGACTTGTCTATTGAAAACTACAAAACATTCTTGACAAAAATTAGAGAAGATCTAAAAAAATAAAGAGACATCCCATCCCATGTTCATGGATCAAAACACTTAACTGTTGAGATGACAGTACTCTCCAATTGGATCTATAGATCCAACACAGTCCCCAACAAAATCCCAGCTGGCTTTTTCACAGAAATTGACAAGCTGACCTTAAAATGTATATGGAAATGCAAGAAACTCCAAACAGCCAAAAACCATCTTGAAAAAGAACAAAATTGGAGGACTCATACTTCCTCATTTCAAAACTTATTACACAGCTATAGTAGTCAAGACAGCGTGGTATTGGCATAAAGACAAACAGATCAATGGAACAATACTGAGAGTTCAGAAATAAGCCCTTCCATTTATAATTGACAAGGGTGCAAAGACAATGAGAGAAGACCCTTTCAACAAATGGTGCTGGGACAACTGGATATCCACATGCAAGAGAATGCACTTGGAACTGTGCTTCAGACTATATACAAAAGTTAACTCAAAATGGATCACAGACCTAAATGTAAGACCTCAAACTGTAAGACTCTAAGATAGCCTAAGAGAACTGAAAACAGAAGTCCAGAATAAAACTTGTACACAGGGGCGCCTGAGTGGCTCAGTTGTTAAGTGTCTGCCTTTGGCTCAGGTCATGATCCCAGGGTCCTGGGATTGAGCCCCACATCGGGTTCCCTACTTAGTGCGAAGCCTACTTCTCCCTTTCCCACTCTCCCTGCTTATGTTTCCTCTCTCGTTGTGTCTCTCTCAGTCAAACAAACAAATAAAATTTTAAAAAATAAAATAAAATAAAATTTGTACACAAATGTTCATAGCAGTATTATTCATAATAGCTAAGAGAAATAACCCAAAGGTCCATCAACCGATGAATGGATACATAAAATGTGGTATAGTCATACAATACAATATTATTCAACCACAAAAAAAGAATGAAATATTGGGGCACCTGGGTGGCTCAGTGGGTTAAGCCTCTGCCTTCAGCTCAGGTCATGATCCCAGGGTCCTGGGATCGGGCCTTGCATCTGGCTCTCTGCTCAGCAGGGAGCCTGCTTCCCCATCTCTCTCTGCCTGCCTACTTGTAATCTCTCTCTGTCAAATAAAAAAAAAATCTTAAAAAAAAAAGAATGAAATATTGATATGTGCTACAACATGTATGACCCTTGAAAACACTATATTATACTAAGTGAAAAAAGTCACCCACCAGTGGCCACATTATTCCATTATAAATTGATACACAATATCCAGACCAGGAAGATTTAGATACAATACCAAAAATTTAAGCAACAAAAGAAACTATAGATAAATTGGACTACTTCAGAATTAAAATCTTTTGTGCTGCAAACAAAATACCATAAAGAAAGTGAAAAGACAACCCACAGAATTTGAGAAAATATCTGCAAATCATATGTCTGATAAGAGACTTGTCTCCAGAATATACAAAGAACTCTTACAACTCAATAATAAAAAGACCCAATAAATTACCCAATTTTTAAATGGGAAGAGGATTTGAACAGACATTTCTCCAAAGGAGATATGCAAAAGGTCAAAGAGCACATGAAAAGACATTCCATCATGAGTCATTAGAGAAATGCAAAGCAAAACCACAATGAGATACTACTTCACACCCATTAAGAAGGCTATAATAAAAGGACAGACAGTTACAAGTGTCAACAGGGCGTGGAAAAATTGGTGGTGGAAATGTAAAATGATCCAGTCATTCTGGAAAACAGTTTGGCAATTCCTCCAAAACTTAAATACCGAGTTACCATATGACCTAAGCAATTCCACTCCTAGGTATATATATCCCAGAGAAATGAAAACACATCCATTTAAAAACTTGTACATGAAGGTTCACAGAAACATTATTGATAATAACCAAAGACTGGAAACAACCTAAATGTCCATCAAATGATAAATGAATTGAATATATGGTATACCTGTAAAACCCAGTATCATTCAGCCATAAAAAAGAATGAAGTCCTTACATGTTACAACATGGAGAATCCTTGGAAGCGTCATGTTAATCGAAAGAAACCAGTCACAGAAGGCCACATGTTATACGATTCCATTTATATGAAATGTCCAGAATAGACAAATTTATAGAGACAGAAAGTAGATTAGTAGGTACTTAGGGCTGAAAGCGGGGGCGGGTAATACGGAATGACTGCTAACTGGTACAGGGTTTCTTTGAGGGGGGCGGGGAGACACAAAAAATGTTCTAAAATCAGATTGTGGTAGAGGTGCCTGGGTGGCTCGTTGGTTAAGTGTCTACCTTCAGCTCAGGTCATGATGCCAGGGTCCTGAGATCAAGTCCTGCACTGAGCTCCTTGTTAAGAAGGGAGCCTGCTTCTCCCTCCCTCTGCCTGCCACTCCCCCGTGCTTGTGCCCTTGTGTTCTCTTTTTGTCAAATAAATAAATAAAATCTTTAAAAAATAAAAAAATAAAAATAAAAATAAAAAAATCAGATTTTGGTGATGGCTTTACAACTTTATAAATATGTTTTCTTTGTTTGTTTTTTTAAAGATTTTCATTTATTTATTTGGCAGAGAGAGATCACAAGTAGGCAGAGAGGCAGGCAGAGAGAGAGGAGGAAATAGGCTCCCTGCTGAGCAGTGAGCCCTATGCTGGCCTCCATCCCAGGACCCTGGGATCATGACCTGAGCTGAAGGCAGAGGCTTAACCCACTGAGGCACCCAGACGCCCCTAAATACATGTTTTTAAAACTGACTTGTATATTTATTTGTTTACCTATTTATTTAATTTATGGGGCAGGGAGGGGCAAAGGAAGAAAGAATCTTAAGCAGGCTCTGTGCCCAGTGGGGAGCCTGACATGGGACACAAGTTCACAACCCAAAGATCATGACCTGAGCTAAAAGCAGGAGCTGGATGTTTAACCAACTGAGCCACCCAGGTGCCCACTGACTTGTATACTAATTTAAATAGGTGAATTGTATGGTCCGTAAATTACATCTCAGTAAAGCATTTTTTATTTACTTTTTCTTAAAGATTTTTTGTTTGTTTATTTGACAGAGAAAGAAAGCGTGCAAGAGAGGGAACACAAGCAGGGGTAGTGGGAGAGGGAGAAGCAGGCTTCCCACAGGGCAGGGAGCCCGATGCAGGGCTTGAACCCAGGTCCTTGGGATCATGACCTGAGCCGAAAGCAGACACTTAATGACTGAGCCACCCAGGTGCCCCAGTAAAGCATTTTTTGAAACAGCATTATAATCATGTATGTAAGTCTGTAGGAATAAGATTACATGAGGTTAACATTACATGAGATTTTAGAATATTTCTATGAAAGATAAATGACAAAAGGTAGTTTATCAATGAATCTGGGTTGGGGGACATTTGGATGTTCATTATACCACTCAGAAAATTGTAGTTAAGAAAGATTCCCTTTTATCAATAGAGGCTGGAGCCTTTAAAAACTTCCAACAGGTAGGGTGGAAGGAAATTCATAGATCTGGTGAAGTCATTTGCGTTAACAGATGGGATCCAGAGACAGAAAGTGATTTTCTCAGAATAAACAAAAAACAGACAAGGTGGGGAGAAGTAGGCAGGGGCCCTGCCTTTAGATTCACGTTTCTTATTCAACAAACTACCTGGGAAGTGGCTGAGGGTGCTATGAAAGGTCCAGAACTTACTTGAGTTTCAGCTCCCTTGTGAGCTCGTTCTGAGTCTGTTCCAGCTCCTGACGCTCCTTGATGTGCTCTTCTTGGAGGTCATGGATCTCTGCCTTCACCGCCTGAAGCTTGGAGAAGAGCTGGAACCGAGGGGAAAGGCAGGTGAGGAGGGGAGCCCTCCAGACAACAGAGCTCTTCCCTTCCTCCAAGTCTCAAGACACTTCTGCCTGGCCTCGTTCCTTTATACCTTCTTGAGTTTTTTGGTCTTGATGTCCACCTCTTGCTGCAATGAGCTGTACGTCTCTTTCAGTTCCAAGGTCTCCTCATCTCTGCTTTCCATCTGTTGCTGGATTTCTCTTTCTCGACGTTTCTGGGCAACATCACAAAATTCATCAGCTTGCCTACAGACTATGTCTAAACAAGAATACAGGGCTGGGTGCTCCAGATCGGAGTCTCCCACTGGGAAGGGGCTGAACACCCCATTTTCATTCCCTCTGAAGAATCTAATAAAAGAGATATTTACTCTGTAGCATTGGTGTGCCTTGTCCCACGCCCTTCTCCTCAAAAGGGAATGAAAAGTTACCTGCTCTGCAATTTCCTGCCGTTTCTGCTCCAGGATTTTCTGTTGTTCATTTGTATGATCTACTATATTTTTTCCTCCAACAAGCAGCTTACTCTCCATGGCCTGAGTGAGAAAAGAGTAGAATCCATCTTGTGAATGATCTCCCTCAGAACATATCTCCTCAGAGGGAAGCCTGTAAAACATCATGAGCTCAGGACTGAGCCAAACGGGTGAACTCTGGGGGGAAGACAGATTGTGCACAGCAGTGTCCTTACCATCACCAAGGTAGGGCTGAGGTGGCTCCACTGGGGCTTTACCTCAGAAACACTAAAGATACAGCTCCCCCAGGACTATTGGAATTTCAGCTTTCTTAAAAAAATTTTGGGGAGTTTTGTATGTACAAAGTGTTGACCCTATTTAAAACATATTGAGTCCCTCCTATGTGCTGGGTACTAGAGAGGCAACAGAATATGAATCACAAGGCTGAAGACTCCACTGAGGGCTACGGATAAGCAAGCAGGCTCTCGTGCTATGCAGGCAGACACGAGCATGAGGAAAAGACAGAGCAGGGGCCCCTGGGTGGCTCAGTCGTTAAGTGTCTGCCTTCGACTCAGGTCATGGCGCCAGGGTCCTGGGATCGAGCCTCACGTTGGGCTCCCTGCTCAGTGGGGAGTCTGCTTCTCCCTCTCCCACTCTCCCTGCTTGAGTTCCCTCTCGCTGCGTCTCTCTCGGTCAAATAAATAAGTAAAATCTTCAAAAAAGCAAAGAAAAGACAGAGTGATAATAGGAGAGGCATACAGGAGGGAGAGAACTCGGGCTTTTGGAGGGAATCAAGGAAAGCTTCCTGTCTCAAGAGTGCTGAAGTAAAAACAGGAATTAGCTAAGGAAAAAAAAAATTGATGTAGCGGTGCTTGGCTGGCTCAATCGGTTAAGCATTCAACTCATGATGTCGGCTCAGGTCATGATCTCAGGGTCGTGAGACTGAGCCCTCCATCGGGCTCAGTGCTGAGCGTGGAATCTACTTGAGATTCTCTCTCTCCTTCCTCTCTGCTCCTCCCCCTGCTTGCACAAGCCCCGCCCCCCAATAAATAAATAAATAAATAAATAAATAAAATCTTCAGGAAAGAAGAAAAAACATGGTGTGTGAGAGGGTAGGGTAGGAAGTGATGATACACAAAGTTGGTAAAGCAATCAGGGCTCAGTTCAAAAACATCAAAGCCCTGTTAAGGGAAACTAAAGTTGATTTGAGACCCGCAGGAATCACACTGACCATTCTTTGAGCCTAAGGGTACACAGATTTGTGTTTTACACAGCCAGTTTGGGTTTTTAGAAACATTCTTCCCTCACCACAGGAAGGATGACTGGAAAAGGACAGGCCAGGTGGAGGGAGACCAGTCAGGAGGCTGTTTTGAGGATCCAGGCCTGGGCTAGGGCAGTAATGGTGGGAGAGCGCAAAGTGGATGGGTCCAAGAGAGCCAATCAGATGATGCAGGATTCAGAGGCCTGGGGACTGACTGGGCCATAAGGGAGAGGGAAGGACAGCTCGCAGGGATAACTCCGAGGGGTCTGGCTTGACTGAGGAAAGGCAGGCAGAAACAGGTTCTGGGTGGCCATGGCCATCTCTGGAAATGTCCAGTGGGCAGAGACTACCAGGATCGAAAATTAGGAGACAGCTCTGGGCTCGCTATGCAGACGGGTCACCTTGAGCAAATATTTAGATGGTGGGTAAAGCCATGGGAACAGTTTGTACCCAAAAAGCAGAGAAACCAAAACCTCCATGACCTTGTCTTTTTTTTTTTTTAATTATTTATTTATTTGTCAGATGGAGATCACAAGTAGGCACACAGGAAGGCAGAGAGAGAGAGGAGGAAGCAGGCTCCCTGCTGAGCAGAGAGCCGGATGCGGGACTCGATCCCAGGACCCTGGGATCATGACCTGAGCCGAAGGCAGAGGCCTTAACCCACTGAGCCACCCAGGCGCCCCGATGACCTTGCTTTTAAGAAACTTACAAACATCTTTCAGGGAACCCCTAGGCCCATTTCTTCTTCTCTCAAGATGAAGTGGTTGTACTAGATTACTAACCCTCCCCCACACACATTTCTTCTAGCCCTATAATACTTTTTTTTTTTTTAAGATTTTATTTATTTATTTGACAGAGATCACAAGTAGGCAGAGAGGCAGGCAGAGAGAGAGAGAGGCAGAAGCAGGCTCCCTGCTGAGCAGAAGGCCCGATGCGGGGCTCAATCCCAGGACCCTGGGATCATGACCTGAGCCGAAGGCAGAGGCTTTAACCCACTGAGCCAGCCAGGCGCCCCTAGCTCTGCAATACTTTTGTCCTATGATTTTATAGCATCCCGAGATTTAGAGAGACAGAAGTAATATCATTCTCCAATAAAAAAAAGTCTAAGTGACTATGAGGTAATATTGAGTCTTGCCAGACCTGGCCTCTGAGAATTGCCCAAATAACCCAGGTTTAGAGAGTCTAGGTGTTCCTGGGCTCGAATAACAGATGTGATCCTAAAAACCAGCGTGCACATCAAACATGGACACTCCCTGTTACATGTCAAGTGCAGGAATGAGGATGGATGAAGTGGCGTCTGACGTTGAATCCCAGACTAAGCCCCTCCCTGGAACAAAGTGACCCCCTAACTGTGTTGTTTTGGACTCCATTTTCACATCGGGTCTTGAAAGCTCTGGAAAGGGCCACAGATGAAGCCACAGATAAAGCCACAGCTTCATACAGTGGGGGCAGGGGAGGTGAGAAAAAAGAGATCACTGGTCATTTTAAAATTAATAAACAAGGATACATCTGAGAGGCGAAGTCAGAGTTTTCATAAATTCATTAAGAAAGAACCAGACACCTCAGAGCCGTTCTGGCTTATGGGCAGGCAGCGGTCATCCTCAGATTTCCAGGGCTGGCTCTGTCCCCTCCTCTGCCAGTAAAGGTCAGTGGAAGCCCAGAGTCTGGGCGCCTGATGGAATGGTACACTGGCACCAGAAAGAAAAGACACAGGAGTCTCCACGCTCTAGAATGCTAGTCAGCCACTAACTCACAGGGCTTGGAGTCAGTTGAGGGAAGGGGCTGACTACAAGGGAGCATTTGGGGGGCGAGGGAACTGTTCTGTATCTTCTATGGTTGGGGGCACTGCATATTAAAACCGCAAAGGGGGGGCACCCATGTGGCGCAGTCAAGTAAGCTCAAGACCTGAGCTTACCTGACTGATCTCAGCTCAGGTCTTGATCTCAGGACTGTGAGTTCAAGCCCCAAGTTGGGCTAAACCAACAAACAAAAAACCCCACAATGAGATACCATTTTATAGAGAATTAAAGCAGATAGTCATACATGGATAGAACTAGAGGGTATTATGCTAAGCAAAATAAATCAGTCAGAGAAAGACAATTATCATACAATCTCTCTGATATGAGGAATTTGAGAGGCAGGGCAGAGGAGGTAGGGAGGGAAAAAATGAAACAAGATGGGATCAGGAGGAAGATAAACCATAAGAGACTCTTAATCTGACGAAACAAACTGAGGGTTGTTGAGGGGTGGGAGAGGAGGGATAGGGTGGCTGGGTGATGGACACTAAGGAGGGTATGTGTTATGATGAGTGCTGTGAAGTGTGTAAGCCTGATGATTCACAGACCTGTACCCCTGGGGCAAATAATACATTATATGTCAATAAGGAAAAAAAAGCAGATAGTCATAAACGCTGGTAAGGACGAGGAGCAACCAGAGTTCATACTGTGTTGGTAGAAGCTTCGCTTCACATGGCCACCACTGAGACAACTTTTGATTATCTAGCAAAATTACAGCTGTACAAACCCGAGGACCTAATGGTGCCAGGTAAGAAATTCTTGCTCATGTGTGTTCTCCCAGAACCAAGTACAAAAACATTCATAGCAAAAAATGGAAACAACCCACTATCAGGAGAATGGAATACCACATGCTTCTCAGAGCAGTAATAATGAATGAATCACAGCTACAAGTGTCAATCTGGACAAATCTCACTACGTAAGGTTGGGCAAGTAAAAGCAAACTGTAGGAGTGGGATTTCATTTATATAAAGGTACAAAACTGTGTGGAACTCTCTTTTTTTTAGAGACACATACCTATATGAGAAAACCATAAAGAAAAGTCAGGAAACACCAAATTCGAAACAAGGGCTAGCTCTGGGGGAGAGGGACACAAAGCTTGTGAAGATAGGGATTCAGTTCTGTCACACAGGCTGTGGGGCCCCTGGGTGTCAGTTTTATTGCTGCTTTTTATACCTTGCACATATGTAATAATTATTCTTCCTATGAGTTCAACATAAACTTGAAGAAATGGTTTTTACTTCCCTTCAACAAATGTTTACTAGACACTGGATCCCACCGAGCTGTTAGGAATGTAAAACTGAAAGGGATGTCATCTGTCATACCATTTTTGGATAAAATGGAAAGCCCTGAGAGAACAGAGGGGCTGAGGAAGGCTGTGGTACCTTGATTTTGGCGCCCAGCATCTCGGCCGCGTCCTTCTCCCGCCGCAGGTCCTCCATCTTCTTCTCCTTCTCCTTCAGCAACCTCATCTTCTCCTCTGCAACCAAGCTGTGGTCCTCTACAATGGCCCGCTTCTCAATCTCCAGTTTTTCTTGCTGTTCCCGCCAGTAATCATCCTTATCATCCCCTTCCTCCTCACCCTCTTCTCCCTCCTCCTCCTCCTCCTCCCCGCCCCCACCACTGCCACCACCTTCCCTCCGCTTCTCCCGCCTCTTCCTCCTGCCAATGGACCGTTTTTCCAGCTGGGCCTTGAGCCGAGCAATTTCTTCCTGGAATTCTCGAAGGAGGGCATCTTTAGGGTCCTCGTTGACCCTTGGCTTGTTCTTAATGTTTTTGGCACGGTTGGCATATCTGAGAGTGGTCAGAGTCTCTTCTACATTGTACGAGGCAGGTCCCACGTTGGCTACCATCACAGTTTTAGCATTGCCACCGAGAGAATCTTGGAGGAGCCTGGTCAGCTTTGAGTCCCGATACGGAATGTGAGTGCTTTTGCCGTCCACTAGGGCAGAGATGACGTTACCTAAGGCTGAAAGGGACAGGTTGATCTTGGTGGCCTCCTTCAGTCTTTCTCCTTGTGCGCCGGTCTTGGCTTGCCGTTCGCTGCCAGCAAGATCCACAAGGTTCAGTTTTCCTACGCGGATATGGTTTTCTCCATCAAGGCCCACCTCACTGCACTCAATGGTGATTACAAAAATCGCATGAGAGCGTGAGCTGTGCTCGTTCATGTTGGTGGCGCCGACAGAGCGGTTCTGGTTCCCCACATTCATCACGTGCTCGATTTCCTTCACGCTCTTGGTGACAAAGGAAGAGAGGTCTTTCACGTACACGCCAGTGTCAGGCCTCTCTTTGAGCTCGAGCCTTCTGGTCTGATCCTTTGAGAGCAGATCTCGGATCTCCTCCTGGTAGATCTCCAAGTAAGAAGCCCTGACCAGGTACTGTTGATTCTGGGATCGAGAGATATGGGTGAAGATGTGGTCAAACGAGTTAGGGATGACCCCTCTTTTCTCAGGGTCGCCACGGACTCCTTCCATCGTGTAGGTTTTCCCAGTCCCAGTTTGTCCATAGGCGAAAATCGTCCCATTGAAACCCTGCAAGACAGAGTCCACGAGCGGTCGGAATGTCTCATCGTAGAGTTCAAACTGCTTGGCATTCCAGTCATAGACTGCATCAAAGGTGAAGGTCTTGGGCATTTCATGGGCCATGCCTTTGGGGTTCTTCACTGACACCTGCCCCAGCTTCACGTCCACATCCACCACCTTATCATATGAGGCGGCCTTTTCCTTGCCGTTCATGGGCCGACAGCGAACCACCACCCTGACGGACTCTGAGCTTTTTAACTTGGACATGATGGTCTCTGACAGGGTCAACCTTGAGGGCTATGAATCCAAAACGTCTCAGGATGCTAAGGTCCTAGAAAAAAAGCAAAATTAAGTGAGGACAGTATAGTTGTCACTGAGGGCTGGTCAAGAGCACCCAGCCCACCCACGTCACCTTCCTCTGGCTACCCTTCTGATGGCTACGGAAAGGACTACAATGCACGCTGCATTTCTTCACGGGTTCTTAACAAGCTTCAGTAGGAAAAGTACACACTTTAGTCCACCAGCTGTGTGAATGGGCCTGTCTTCCCCTTGACTGATACTTTATCTTATACTCCAGGTTGCAGCAGCTAGAAACCTTTTAGAAGCCTGGATAATCTTCTGTCCTGTTGAACTACTAAAACCTCTGTGGAGAGCAATTTGAAACTATCTATCGATACCTTTAGACGTAGCAGTTGTATTTCTAAGAATTTATCCCACAGATACAAGGATATTCCTTGTGGTAGCAACAGACTGTGGGCCACCCCAGCTCCCATCAAGAGAGGGCTGCCTGAATACATACATATGTAATAACATATATACAGTGGAATCCTGTGCAGTAACTGAAAAGAATGTGCTAATCTAAATGTAACCCTAAACTGAGATGCACTGCTAAGTGGAAAGAGTAGATGAGGAGCCGTGTGCACAGTACAGTTAACACGGGGTATAAGCAGGTGGATACGTGCATGCACGTTTATGTGTGATATGCAAAACAATATTCTTAGAAGCATGCATATCAAAGTGGGAGCAGCGGCAGCCTCAGTAAGGGAACTGTGGGCCTAGAGGACTCTCAGGTCGAGAGAGAGAGAAAAAAAACTTCACTTTATGCTCTGTTTGTACTGTTTGAATTTCCTACCTTGTGCCAATAATACTCTTCCATTCTAAAATCATAAACTATGGCTTATGCAAAATGTACGCAAATAAATGAGGATGTGGTGTAATACATTATAGAAAGCACTTATTCAACCAAAAAATTGAAGACAACATGAATGCAAATAAAAAAATAGGTGTTAAAAACTTTTTTTTTTTAAAGTAGGGGCGACTGAGTAGCGGGTTGGTTAAGCTCCTGACTCTTGGTTTCTGCTCAGGTCGTGACCTCAGGGTCATGAGATCAAGCCTTGAGTGGGGCTCTGTGCTCAGCACGGAGTCTGCTTGAGACTCTCCTCTCCCTCTGCCTCTCCCTGCCTCTAAAATAAACAAATAATTCTTTTTTTTTAATGTTTACTTATTTATTTGTTTGACAGGGATCACAAGCAGGCAGAGAGGCAGGCAGAGAGAGAGAGAGGAAGAAGCAGGCTCCCTGCTGAGCAGAGAGCCCAGTGCAGGGCTTGATCCCAGGACCCTGGGATCATGACCAGAGCCAAAGGCAGAAGCTTTAACCCACTGAGCCACACAGGCGTCCCAACAAATAAATCTTTAAAAAAAAAATTTTTAAGTAGGTGCACCTGGGTGGCTCAGATGTTTAAGCGTCTGCTTTCGGCTCAGGTCATGATCTCGGGATCCTGAGATCGAGTCCCATATCGGATTCCTTGCTCAGCGGGGAACCGGCTTCTCCCTCTCCCTCTGCTGCCTCCCCTGCTTGTGCGTTCTCTCTCTCTCTGTCCCATAAATAAATAAAATCTTTAAACCAAAGTAAAAAAAAAGTAAAACCAAAAACGAGAACTTCATTTAGTGCCAGAAAACTCAGGGAACGGAAGAAAGGATGACTAAATGGGTCCTTTGGGAAAGGGTAGGAAGCAAGCAGATCAGAGTGAAGAGATACATACAAGGATCCCAAATTCCTAAAAACCTCAGTGTGGGGTGTCTTTTGGTTTTTGTTTTAAGTAGGTGATTTTCCTGCCTCTTGATTCAGTGACCTCTTTAATGACAGGTCCTTTTCCCTTACATGTTCTCTAGCCACCCAGGTCCCTGCCCACAAGGCAAGTATTATTAGATTTTTAATCTTCCTGAGCTAGTCTATGCATAGCAAGCAAATACGTATTAGTACATACCTACCCGCTCCTTCTTAACACAAGTGTAGAATGTTATACACAGTAATAACAGTGTCCTGCACCTTGCTTTTCCTCACTAAACCATGTTCCCTCAATAAATATACAGCTAACTTATTCTTTGTAGCAGCAGCAAAATATCCCACTGCCTGGAAGCATCAATTTACTTAACCACAATCCTAGCACTTAAGCTGTTTCTGATATTTTACTGTGAAAAAAACTAGGCCCACATCCTTTCACATGTGGGAAAGTGTATCTGTAAGATAAATTTCTAGCTGGCTCACAGGATATATGCATTTGTGATTTCAACAGACACTTAGGATAGCGCGAACAATTTCTTTTTAGTTGTGAGGGTGACCTATTCCCTGCTAACAAAGGAGTGTGAGAATGTGAGGCAGTGATGGGCCAGTCTGTGGCTTATGTGCTGTACGTTAATAAATATAGAGTTAATATGTTCTCCCATTAAGCTTTTATCAAAAATTGGCTGCTGCTAAGCACATGGAAACATGAAAAGTTATTTTTTGCACTTTCTAGTCATTACATGTAATCAAATAATGTCTAGAATGTCTAGATGTCTAGACTGAAGAGCTAGAAGACCTCTAATCCTCTTGGAACCCATTTTCTATAAAATTGGTAAGACAGGGATAATTCTCCTTCTTTATGGATGATTTTAAGGCTAAGGGGTACTTACAAAGGTGGAAGTACGTTATGAACTAACATAAAGCTGTATTAAAATAAACCGATACAGATTCATCCAAAACCCTCATCAAAGGGTCATTCCAGAGATTACTGGTGAGCCCTAACTTTTAATCTCTTGTTCAGTTTGTAGTCATCACCCTAAAAAAAAAAATCAGATTAAACTGAGATCCAAACATCTAATCAATATTCCATTAGTAGTGACACTCTCGGGGTAACTGGGTGGCTTAGTCAGTGAAGCATCCACCTTTGGCTCAGGTCATGATCCCACTGTCCTGGGATCGAGCCTCACATCAGGCTCCCTGCTCAGCTGCTTCTGCCTCTACTGCTCCCCCTACTTGTGCTTGCTCATTCTTTCTCTCTCTCAGATACATAAATAAAATCTTAAAAAAAAAAAAAAGTGAAGCTCAAGCCATTTAAGGAAAACCATGTAAAAGTCCCTCATTCTTCACCTGTTATGTGCTATCACCATTTTGAGAAGAAAGAACTGGATGTTAGAATGGCCAGTCTGCTTACTACATCTCCCTTTCTCTTCCAGGGCAATGGCCCCCAAGCTACCTCTGCAGCTATGACCCGAGCCTGTCTCTACCTCCATGTCAGCAGAGACCTGCAAAAGCTGTGCAGGTGCCAAGTTCAAACCCCAGCCCCCTGAGCCTTCACTGGGGAGGCCTTTGCTGCAGCACATGGGATGGTTTACACAAGGTCCTAGACTCAGAGTAAGAAATGGTAGGGGTGGGGGTGAGGAGGTGACAGGCTGGCTCAGCCAGTGGAGCCTGCAACTCTCTTGATCTCTGGGTTGTGAGTTCGAGTCCCACATTGGGTGATTACTTAAATAAATAAAACTTAAAAAAAAAAAAAGGTGGGGGGGTGGTAAGTGGCAAATGCATCAGTGGAGAGATCAATTTTTCTGCATTGCATATTCCTAAAGAGGCAGAGCTGCCCAGTTCTTACCTACCAGAACAACGTGGCCCCAAGTCTGTTTAAAAAAAAAAAAAAAAAAAAAAAAAGCCTGCAGCAGGGTGACCTTCATGTTCAGCTGCTTCTGTTAGAGCACGGTCTATTTTTTGAGCTCTCCGAAATGATAAAAACAAAGGTATGATAATGACCTACAATCATGTTTAAAATGTTTTAAAAAGAAGAATTCCCAAAGCCTGCATCCCCTTAATTAAATCTCAACTCAGAACACAGAACACCATTTCTTTTCAGAACCCACTGAGCTCGACTGAACTAGTCATGTATTATTGACGTAGAACTTTGGGAAGATGGGCTAATTTAATTTCCTGCCACCAGGGCTTAAAAACTTGCTGTGGGTCCTCCTCAAAGGAGAGGGTTTTCTTGGAAGGATGCCCTGACACTCTTTCTTTACTTTATTACCTTCCTTATTCTCCTTCTAGCCGGTCTAATTACAGTGATAAATCTTTAAAGGAACTCACAGCATTGCCAGGAAAGAAGCAACCACAGGTCAGCAGCTCGTCACCTTCATCCTGAAGACATTTTCTGTTAGAACTTGTTATTCCAACATGAACAACCACAGTCTGAATGAAACCCCATGAAAAACTGCGTCTCTCCCCAACTTCACCTCTTTTGTCCACTGAGGAAGTCAGTTTCACATTGCTCATGGCAATAACCTCTTCCAGATGGCTCTCGCCCTTACAGTTAGATTAACCACCCTCACCTTTGCTAGTTGTCAAGAGTCTTACCTCAAATTCTAGAACTAGATGTGGGTTAGAATCTCACTATTGGCTTCCTACAGAGATTCTAGGACAGAGGTCACAAACCGGTCACATTCTACCTGAAGCATTTTACTCGGACCATTTTATTTGTTAAAAAAGAAAAAAAAAAGCCTCAGCAATTCCACTACTATGTATGTGTATGTCCTAGTGAAAAACCTTTTGCACATGTACACAAGGAAACATGGACAAGGATGCTTCCTGCAGCATGTTGAAATAGAAAAATGGGAAACAACCTGGATATCTATTTTCAGGGGAACTGAAAAATAACATGTGGTGTAATCATATCATAGACACTATACTATTCAGTAGGTAAAAGGAATGCATTAGAGTAAGGGTCAGCAAACTATAGCCCATGGGCCAAACCGAGCCGACAACCTGTCTTTTGTAAATAAAATCTTATTGGAACACAGCCATAACCCTTTGTTTACATATTATCTATGGCTGCATTAGCTATGAAATGGCAGGGCTATGTAGCTGTAACAGAGACAGGCTGGCTCACAAAACCTAAAATATTTACTGCCTGATCTTTTCCAGAAAGAGTCTGCCAACCCCAAATTAGACTTATATAAATTTACATGGAAAAATAAACAGGCTGAGTGAAAAAACAAGTGCAGAGCGATAATTATGATTAAAAATTTACAAAACAATATGGTGTTCATGGAATTGCATTTATGTATATGTAAGTAGTAAAAAAATGCTGTACCCCTGAAGCAAATAATACATTATATGTTAATTTAAAAAAAAGATATACAATAATTTATGATAGCAGCTGCCCAAATTGGGCAGGGTGAGAAGTGGAGAATGGGATTAAAAATGGGAAGGATATTTCAATTTTATCTATAATAGTTTATCATTTCTCTTAAAAAAAAAATATAGGGAGGGGCCCTGGACTGGCTCAGTTGGTGGAGTGAGTGACTCTTGATTTCAAGGGTTATGAATTAAAGCCCTGTGTTGGAAGTTAAGTATACTTAAACAAAACAAAATGGGAAACGAGGCTTGAAGAAAATAAGAGAAAATGTTAACAGCTGTAAATCCTGATTGTTTCTCATATTATTCTCTGAATGTTTAAAATTTTCTCAAAAATGTTTTCTCAAAAAAACACAAAAAACAAAAAAACCCAAACCCTACCAATTTCACATTTTAAAAAAACCAGGTCTTCTGCTTCTCTTGAAGAATGGGAATATCTGACAGCCCCTGGCCCATGCGCTAACTGCAGCAACGGGAGCTGAGAAACAGCTGCCTCTTTGGAGGACCTGAGCTCTCCAATCCTCCCCAATCCTGTTCCCGATGTCTCACTCCCAGCATGCTTTGCTCATTTGTACTTCCTGCCTGGCTCCTATAGGCATCTCTGCCTATAACCAAATTCATGTTCACATGATCTGACTAGAAAGGCCTGCCATGCTAGCCCATCTTTTTATTTTTTATTTTTAAAAATTATTTTTAAAGATTTTATTTATTTATTTGACAGAGAGAGAGAGAGAGATCACAAGCAGGCAGAGAGGCAGGCAGAGAGAAAGGGGAAAGCAGGCTTCCCGCTGAGCAGAGAGCCCCATGCGGGGCTTGACCCCGGGACCCCGAGACCACGACTCAAGCAGAAGGCAGAGGCCCAACCCTCTGAGCCACCCAGGCGCCCCAGCCTATCTTTATAAATGACACTTACCAAGGTCCTGTAATGACATGGAAAATGTTTATCATAAATGAAAAAGCAGTTTACAAAACTGAATGCATGCAATCACAATTCTATAAAAATAAGACACATCACAAGATCAACAGTGGTCCACTTTAGGTGATGGAACTAGAGGTGATTTTCCCTGCTTCTTCAACACTCCTGTGTTTTCCAAATGTTCTTTAATGAGTATGCGGTATCTTCAAATGGGAAAAAAATAAAGGCCCAGCAATTTACTGGCAACAGGCCTGCAAGTGCACACTAATGCATCTTTAATCAATGCATTCCAACGCAGTGTCCTTTAAGAACAGACCAGGCAACCACCTGCCAACTGCCTCGCCAGGAGTTCAAGGACTCAGAGTATCTGGAAGGCAGCTGAAGTCATGTGGGCCATCCAAAAAACCACTGCAACTCTCAGGCAAGAAGATAAAGCAACTCCCTATTAAGCAGCCCAAAACAACTCCCTGTGCAAGTTTCTCCCAGGGGAAGTGGCTGCTTCTACTCTGTATCCACCTCATCAACATCAACACCACTCTCTCACAGCTGCTGCTAAGTGTTTTGAAGTACGAGGGCTCCTTGTTTGCAATCCCTGAACCACCCCAAGAGAGCAAGTCCAATTCTGGGCCCCTGGCTCCCATAATGGCCAGTGATCACTATAGGAATTACACAATTTTCAAAGCAGGATTATTCAGCGCCTGTTGAAAAAGAACTTCACTGCCCTGCAGAACTTTTACAAGCACACTGGATTTGTGTTGAGGGAACACTTCTATAACTGCTTATACATGCATAAAATATATTTGAAGGGATATTCATGAGCCAGAAAACAACACTGGTTGCCTGTAGGGAAAAAGCTGTATGGTGAGGGCCAAGAGTAGGAGAGAGACTTTGTATGTCTATCTTTCCATCTCTTGAGTTTGGTTTCTTTTTTAAGATTTTATTTATTTATTTGACAGAGAGAGAGCACAAGTAGGCAGAGAGGCAGGCAGAGAGAGAGAGGGAAACAGGCTCCCCACTGAGCAGAGATCCCGATGTAGGTAGGGCTCGATCCCAGGACCCTGAGATCATGACCTGAGCCGAAAGCAGAGGCTTGAGCCACTAAACCACCCAGGTGCCCCAGATCTCTTGAGTTTTAAATTGTAGGGGTATATTATGTGGTCAGAAAAATAAAATTATGGGAAAAAGAAGATGGATAAAGTTGGGGAAGTTAATTAGTAAACTAATATCCAGGTCTTAAAACTCATTCTTTTCTTCTTTTCACTGGCCACCATGGACATAAGGTAATAAAATGTTTTGGGACGCCTGGCTGGCTCAGTCAGTGGAGCGTGCGACTCTTGATCTGAGTCGTGAGTCTGAGTTCCATGCTGGGTGTAGAGATTACTTATAAAAATAAATAAATATTTTTTTTAAAAAAAGAAAAAAAATGTTTCAATTGATGAAAAAGGGCCCTAGGAGTAAAAGTACTTATCTCAACTTTCTGGAGAAGGGTCATAAAGCCCTTCCATGGGGTCTACGGCAATGGCAACTTTGATATTCTAATATCATTACAGTCTGTCATGTAGCCTCGGTCCTAAAGGCATTTAGAGCAAAGATGGCAAAATACCAGACTAATAAAATATAGTCTGTTGTTATTACAGGCAATGTTTATAGCCAGATAGTTGTGCAAACTGTCTAAAAACTTTTTAAACTGTCCCTTATAGTACATATGAGAGCCACAGCTTCTCAAACTGGCAAAGACTATTTGAGAAGAGTTGGAGTAATCAATACCTTCAGTCAATCAATCAATCGATTGAAATGTAATACTCAGAATGTTATAATCCCTTGAAACAGCAACTCCATTTCTTGGAAGTATTTTAAGGACATCATTTGAGGACATTAGTAGTGGAATATATGTGCAAGATGTACATACATGTTTATAATTATTACAGTACTTTCTCTGACCACCTAAATATTCATTAGTAAAGGACTGGCTATGACACACCTCTACAATGGGAAGTTATGCAGTCATCAAATTGGCAATTACACCTCTAGGTATTTAGTTATAGGAAGGCGTTCATGACATTTTGCTGATGCAGGCTACCGAACAGAAGAGGTATTATGATGTGATTTATGTTTACATGCGTACATGCACATGTTCAGAGAAAGATCTCAGGGAAATGGTATAAAGTCATGGTTAAAAGCATGAGCTTTGGGGCGCCTGGGTGGCTCAGTGGGTTAAGCCGCTGCCTTCGGCTCAGGTCATGATCTCGGAGTCCTGGGATCGAGCCCCACATCAGGCTCTCTGCTCAGCAGGGAGCCTGCTTCCTCCTCTCTCTCTGCCTGCCTCTCTGCCTGCTTGTGATCTCTCTGTCAAATAAATAAATAAAATCTTTAAAAAAAAAAAAAAAGCATGAGCTTTTGTGTTCAACAAGACAGAGTTTGAATTTCTGCACTGCCACATAGCTACAAAATCTTGAGAGTTACAGAAGTCATAGTTTCTTACATAAAATGCAGTTAATAACACCTACCTTAAAGAAATGTTCTATGGATTACATAAACTAATAAATGCTCAATGCTTAGCCTAGTGCAAGATGTGTAATGAACGCTCAGGGAATGCAAGCAACACTGATCTCAGGGGTGAGCTTGCAAGCGATTTTTTTTTCTTGCTTTCTTTGGCGTTTTTGATAGGTACATATATTTCGTTTCTTATAATCAAGTGGGAAAACTGCAATAAAGCTATTTTTTTCTTTGGGGGAAGAAAGTTTAGCACCTTGATTTCTGGTTAAGTGTCTTAGGAAGACAGGCTACTTATCTGGAAAAAAATACCTACAAAGGTCACATAAAAGAAACATGAACAAATAAATTCTTGTCCTAAGTTCAAATTGGCGCCAGGCATGCCCTATCATTTGATAACCCAAACAGGCAAACAAAGAAAGCATTTATCTAGGGGGAAAAAGAGGGAAAGAAATCCCCCCCTTTTTTATCCAGTTGTGAAACACTCACAAAATACATTAAAAATATATTCAAATCTAGGGGTGCCTGGGTGGATCAGTGGGTTAAGCCTCTGCCTTCGGCTCAGGTCATAGTCTCAGGGTCCTGGGATCGAGCCCCACATCGGGCTCTCTGCTCGGCGGGGAGCCTGCTTCCCCCCTCTCTCTGCCTGCCTCTCTGCCTACTTGTGATCTCTCTGTGTCAAATAAATAAACAAAATCTTTAAATATATATTTATATATATATCTATATTTATAAATATATAAATATAGATTTGAATATATATTGAATATATTTGAAT